GGGGGGGGGGGGGGGGGGGGGGGGGGGGGGGGGGGGGTGAAGTGTGGGAGTGTGGAGCCGTCAGCCCTGCTGGGACAGTCTGATCCTAGGGCTACCAGCTTCCTGGGTGCCCCCAGGCACCCAGACCCCAAACCACCAACAGCCCAGTCTAGCTGTACAGGGCAGGCACCTGGGTTGGTTCTGTCCACTGCAGTGTTCTCATCACTCAGCACAGGAAAGGGAAGCAGGACTCAGAAAGAGCCCCAGTGCACTATGAAGTGACTTGAAAGAGTGGAGTGGCCACTAACCCAGGTACCGGAGGGGTCTGCTTCATGACCCAGCAGTACTCCCTCCTCTCCCCAAACTGCTCTTACCAAACGGCCTTTCCCCGACCCATAGTTTCCAGAACCCCTTACACAGGGGTAAAAAGAGATGCTTTGCATCTCTCTACCTAATCTCAGCCCAGGCTCACGATACCTGTACATACCCACTGTCCTAGAACCTTCTCTGGCTCCCACTGCCCCCAAACAGGATCTTCCCTGTTTTGCAGTTATCCCTTCATAGGAACATCTGTCAGAACAGACCCTGGTCTACTGACCAACTGGACAACTATCCCAGATACTGCACAACCGGGGTGTCGCAGTGTGTTGTAGGGCTGGGAGCCATTCCTTTCCTAATTTTCCTAGTAATCCTTTGGGTCCCGGGTCCCGTTTGTACTGCGGATTAACCACTACATTCAGAGAGGGTAAGTGCCCCGGCCAAGGCACATTTCGGGGTGTGGTCCAGATGAGAAACCTCTGTACATTCGCCGCTGTCACATCTCACCAAAACTAAATCTCATCGGATTCAGAATATCTCAGCTCTGCAAAAGCTGTCTGGTGTGACCTGGCTACAAGCCGCCTCGATGCATGCCCCGTTGAATTCCCCGGCAAGGAATTGAGGGGCCGTGACCAGTAAACCCCGAAAAACGACCGCCCCATTCCCACCTCTTGCTGAACGCTCGTGGCTCCAGGCCTACGATGCGGGTGCCAGGACCCGTGGGGCCCACCACCCAACCCCAGCCGCGCGCCAACCGCTGCCATCCCCCCTCCACTGAGAAAAAAACGAGAGCGGCTTAAAGGTTCAAAGAATTTATTTTGCCCTAAAAAAGGCCAGTAACAGGACGAAGGGAAGCGCCGCGCGGCCCTGAGCCCCGAGGGATTGTTTGTCGCTCTCCCTAAGGCAGGAAGGGTGGGGAGCTGGGCCCGGCTGCGCGGCCGCCGCGCCTGGTCCCGGTCATCCAACTGCCCCCGCCAGGCCCGGCAGCCGCGGTCTCGGCCATTGGCGCCTAGGGGCCGGTAACCATGGCGACGGCCGTTGCCACAGGCGAGAGCCAATAGGGTCGTCAACAGGGCTGTTTCAAAAATCTAAAGCAAACAACAACAAAAAACGCTACAGGGCTGGGGGAGGGGAGGGACGGAGAAGGGCTGGAGGGGACCCGGGGCCCATCTCTGCGGCCCGGAGCAGGCGCAGCGGCCCAGGCCGGAGACACTGTACGAAACCTACGCACACTCAGGGTAGAAAAACCAGAGATCACGCGAGCCGAGGCGGGGCGCTCACTTGCGGCCCTTGGGCACTTTGGGGACGCTGGGCTTTGCCGCCTTCTTCACCTTCTTGCCCCCCGCGGGCACCGCCTTCTTGGCCTTGCCGCCCTTGTCCTTCTTGGAGGCTGCGCCCTTCTTGTGCGAGCGCTTCTCCGCCTTCTGGCTCTTGGCGGGCTTCTTGTCCGCGCGCCGCGCGCCCGGCGCCGGCTTCTTGGCCTTGTGCGCGGCGGCGGGCGCCGGGGCGGTGGTGGCCGCGGCCGACCCGCGCCGCTCCCCGCCGCCCTCCAGCTTCTTCCGGTTGAGCTTGAAGGAGCCGTTGGCGCCGGTGCCCTTCACCTGCAGGAGCGTGTCGTTCTGCACCAGCGCCTTGATGGAGTACTTGAGGTAGGTGCGCCCGTTCTGCTGGTCGAACCACGCCACCTTCTTGGCCTCGGCGTAGATCTTAGCCAGCGAGGAGCCGTTGCGCTCGCCCAGCCTCCGAATGGTCTCCACCACCAGCTGGCTGTACTTGCCCGGCTGGTTTTTCTTCTTGCTGTTCTTCCTTTTCTTGGACGGGGACAGCGCCGCCGAGCCGCCGGCCTTGGCCGCCCGCTTCGCCGCCCCCTCGGCAGTCGTCAGCGGCAGGGCCTCCTCGAGCTCCACGGACATGGTGGCGAGCGGGTTGGTGGCGGGCGGC